TTGCCAAGGTTGAAGGCGTTTTAGTTAGAACTACAGAAAGTATTTTTTTTGATTTTCATGTGCATAAAAGGTTGAAACTTCAATAATTTGGTGGGCATAACAAATCTTGAACGTTTTTCATATAAAATAAGTAAAAACAAAAATAATAATGCTAAAAAAACTAACTTTAACTATTTTTTTTATCTATGCTCACCAAAAATTTGATAAAATAGACATTCGTTGATAAGTATGTAAAATTTCAACTATCAAGCATGTAGCTTAAAATATCTAATCTTGATTGGCCCTGAACAGGTTTATCGTAAAATACGCAAAAAACAGAAAAGTGATCCCAAATCATTAGCAATATTTTTACAACCTTTATTTTTATTCCGTTTAATGAAAATATTTATTTAACAAGGAAAGATAGATGTATCATTTTTTTTTATTAGAACAAAAAAGCATTTAGAGAAAAAAAAAAACTATTACTTTAAAGTTATTGAATTTTTATACTTTATATGCCGAAATTTTTAAAAAACTTTTTATGCGGAAATTGTTTTTGCTAAACTCGTGAAGTAATGCCCAATTTTACATTACGTGAAACACGCGTGGTATACTGACAGTTGATGAAATATGTGCCGGATTCACCTAACTTACTGATGCAGATGGTGGGTCAATAACATATGCAGCAGCTGACACAAAAACAGCTGCACTTTTCGCATGTTGCTGCCATTCACTTTCATCTCTATACCTGACGATTCATTGTAACTATTGTATGATAATATAATCTGATAATATGAATACGCTAATTTAATATTAGTCGAGTTACGTCATTTTCTAGGCTTTTCTATTTTAAAGTAGTTTCTTGGCTTTTCTATACGTTTTTTTTTTTTAATTTTATTTACTAACAACGCGTATTACGGGTTGCTTACTGCTAGTATAAATGAATACGATATAACTAGTGATTTCTTTTAAAACAACTAAATATCTTAACATAAAAATGTATTAAACAAAACAAGTGTAAATTCTTTAAGTAAAGAAGTAGTGTACCTATATATAAACATGACTATTAAGTGTACTTGTCTGCGCCACCTTATCGACAGTCGATTATTTGACAAGTATGAATAGTAGCCAGGTTTATAACATAATATGTTTATAAATTTTATATAATATGTATATAAAATTTATTTGTAACATGCAATATAAAAATCTTTTTAAAAACTTTCTAATAATTACTTGGCAAAGTAAACATCTATCAAATGATTGTTTCCGTTGAAACTAAAAAATGATCAAACTTGATGAGTTGCTGAATGTAAATATTATTTACATTCAGCATTCAGGGCCAACGACACGGGTTTTGAAGTGTGTGTGTGGGGGGGGGGGAAGGGGTAAAGGGAGTTCACAAAAGTTGGTTCAAATAACGTTTGCGACGTACGTGTTACGCAAACCTTTACGAACGTTATGGTGACGTTTATTGAACGTTAATTTTAGCTGCGATTAAACAATTTTTCATAACTTTTACGGGATGTTCATAGAACGTTCTTGAACGTTCACAACATTCGTCAAACGTGCTCGAACGTTTTGTTTTAGCTGGGTACTAATATCTTATTGAATGTATAAGTTAAAAAAAAAGAAGCAGGGATGGGGCAACTACATAGCTTATTGCATGGAATCTTATGCACTACCTATAAATAAAATTTTCAAACAACTTAAAACATGATTAAAGTACTTAAAAATATTAAACTTAAACACCATCTCTACGACCAAATTTTCTCAATCTATCTTTTACGAATATCTGTAGTATTCAAAGTAACTATTTATCAGTTGAATCTTTCGTTTTGTAAAATTAACTAGACTTACTTTTTAAGTACTTAATCTTTATCTTGCACCTAATATTAATGTTATTAGTGACTTTGATGCTCATCATACTAAATTGTTTGGCTCTGACGAAGGCCGTACCTAAAAACTAAGATGTGGGGTGTGTGGGTGTGTTACTATCCAAAATTTAGTATTACCAATAAGCGTTTTTCGAGTTGTTTTTTTTATTTCATTTTTTTAAAAAAAGTCGAGTTTAAAAATCTGCCAATTTACCAAAAGGATATTCTTAACCTCGCGGGGCGTCCACTCCCACTCACACCCGTGTCTGTTACTAATGTTATTTCTCTCTTAAACTCTACTACTGCTTGTGGTCGACACAAAATTTCTGTCATAGTCTTACAAAAGTGTTCTCAAAAACCACCATTAATACACTCTGAACTATTTAATAAATACTGTTTTCCTGCCTGCTTGAAAATGACATATGCCATTTCAATTTTTAAAAAACTCAGGAGAACACTCTGATTCCTCTAACTATTACCCAATAAAAACTTCTTTTCTATATTTGCAAAGTATTTAAGTCTTTAGTTAAAAAATTTTAATATCTTATCTTGAGTATAACCAAATTGATTCTTTTGTTCTACATCTACATTAGTGCAGTGGTGGTGTAGTGGTAGAGCGCTCGTTTCATAAGCAAGAGCTTACAAGTTCGATTTCCACCACGTCCGTGGTAGTACCGCGCCGTATTTCTTCGCGCAGCGGAGAGCAGCCTTGTTTGTCAAGGTTCGTGTTTCGGAGTTACAGAGTTGAGAGAGGGTTATAACCACAATTTAGTAGCCTCCTCATCTGTAGTGGTCTTCTCTGCCTCGGAGAGGTGAGTTATCATAAAATAAAAAAATCTGACTTGTTAATTTTTATAACAAAAAGGTTTTATCGTGTATCGGATGGAGGCAGCAAATCAGCTATTACTCTTGACATATCAAAATTAAACTTTGAGGTTTTTATGAAGACTCTTTAACAGCAACAATTCAGCAGACAGTTAAAAGCAAATATGTTTAACTATTTTGAGTTCTTTTTATCATATTAAATTTTTTTATCATATTATCATTTACTCCACGTAATATCAAATTGTTTGAAAAATTAAAAGTTTTGAGCCCGTTGCATAAAAAAGAATGTCAAAAACTAATTACTTCATAGATATTATTTAAATTTTTATTGCAGCATAAATATGGTTTTTTTGCATGCTGTTTATAGCAGACTCGTTCAATATTTATACTTTTATATATTTATAGTTTTACGATTACATATTCTCTTTAAGAGCGTACAACATTATGTAATCTAGCTCCTAATTGAAGACCATGTTTTGTTCAAATAAATTGTTGAAATAGGATTTGGGGCCTGGCTTCGGTACATATATCGACTAATTTAGAAAGAACGCACATGAGTGTGCATAAGAGTCCTAACCATATTGCTTCTCAAACAATCATTCGATGTATCAGCATTCTTAAGCACGTTCTTTCTAAATTAGTTGATATATGTACTGAAGCCCCCAGGCTCCTAATCATAATTCAGCAGTTTTACCCCGTTTTATCCCTGCACTTTACCCGTTGAAAACTTTACCGTTACCGCATTTTACTAATGCATTTTACTAATTTTACTAATGGATAAAAGTGCTACGCAATGATATATATTACGTATTTATATATCATTGGCGCTACGTCACTTTAAAATTCAGAAGTAAACAAAAAATCGTAGCGATTTAAAATCTAATAAATTCCATGAAAGTTTTTTTTTTTTTTTAAATATAAATCTTTATTAAAAATGGATTAGCATTACAAATAATGAATTATAAAATTTCCTCTACTGCTAAAAATTATCTTTGATTAAATAGTTTAAGGAATTATATTGCTTAAACTATCATTTACTTATTTTAACTGCAGGAAAACCTCACTTAAGCTAATATATTATGCAAGTTACAATATTGTTTTACAAAGTTTGAACTTTCAAAGGTTATTAGAGCTGTTAAATCTTTTATTCAAATACATTTAAAGTCATTTTTTATTATAATAATACTAAATGCTTTAATACCAAATGCTAAATGCATATTATTAATGTAGAAAAAATAAATATACAAAAAAATTTGTATAAGGCTTTGCTTATGATAAGTTTTTGCGTTCTATTTGTGTTCCTCCGTTTATATACCTTTAACCAAATGAGATTAAAATAAGAGTGAATCTCTTTTTTAGTGAAACACTGATAGAAAGAATCATGTCTTTATTTTTGCTCTGGATGCTATATATTTTTAAAGATAATAATTTATTTTAACGATTTTAACATAAATTATTTATGATGTCAAACCAAGCTTTGTTTTAAATTTTATAATTGGCAGTTGTATAATTGGTAGTTTTATAATTGGCATTTTATAATTGTCAGCTATTAAATATATAGAGCAACTAATTTACTTCTTCATTCTCATTTTCCCGTATTTCTCAAAGCTATGTTTGTACAAATAGAAAAAGGGTAGTCTGGTATTTTAAAATACTTCAAAAAGTTATGTAGCATTAGGGATTCCATCATACTGGTTTTAATCATAGCACAGTGCAAAGCCTTTAATATTAAGACTTTCACAGTGCTCTTTTATATAAAAACTTGGAAAATGGTTGCTCTCTATAATATAAATACATTTAAATTGGATTGCTATTATAACTTTACATTGTACACAAAGTTAGCAAAATAATATTTATTTGTATCTTATTTCTATATAATTTCAAATTTGTCTTTGTGCTTATACAGTTCATTAAAAATTTTCACAATTATTACCAACAATTTTTATTTTTACCAAAAATTATTATTTATCAAAATTTAAAAGTAAAAATAAAAATATCAGCAAATTTGTTAAAATCTTCATCCTTGTGAAAAATAATATAGTTTAAAGTTTAACGTTGCAAATTATTAATTGTTGTAATAATTTTTAAAGATAGGCATATATATATATATATATATATATATATATATATATATATATATATATATATATATATATATATATATATATATATATATATATATGATTATTTACCTGATTATTATATATGATTATTTACCTCATATTGCATTAATCACACATCTATAAGTATTTTCACATTATTTTAACATAAAAAATTAATTTTTAAATGTTACTCTAAATTGTTTCTTATTAATTATTGTTTAGGTTAAAAAAATTGTCTTTTTAAAGTGCTTACTTATAGTTATGCAAAATAAAACTTCATCAAAAAAAGTAGAAAATGAAATTTACCCTGATCAAAAACAAGAAGAAGATTTAAATCTAATGCAACAGAGTGATCTTACTGGGGATTATTGGAATGTTTTTGTTTTGTTTCTGCTTTATATTCTTCAAGGTATTCCTCTTGGAATGGCAGGAAGTATACCAATGATACTTCAAAATAAAAATATTAGTTATAAAGATCAAGCTATGTTTAGTTTAGTATTTTGGCCATACAGCTTGAAATTGTTATGGGCACCTATTGTTGATGCAGTTTTTTTTCAAAAAATGGGTCGCAGAAAATCTTGGTTAATGCCAATTCAGTATTTGATTGGATTTTTTATGTTAATTCTTTCATTGGTAAGATTTATTTTAAAAATTTTAATTTTGTATTAATTTTTTTTTAACAATTTGATACAAATAAATTTTAATTAAACTATAAACTTTTCACAAAAAAATATAAATTTACAAAAATAAAAGTGAAATTATAAATTGTAAATTAAATGTACCATTAAGTAATAAAAAAAAAAAGATTCAAAAATTTAATAATTTTTGTTTAGAATATAGATAAAATATTGGAAAGTGAAATTCCAAGTGTAATGTTTCTGACAGTAATATTTTTTTCATTGAATTTTCTTGCTGCTACACAAGATGTTGTGGTGGATGGCTGGGCTCTTACAATGCTTCAAAAGCGAAATGTTGGGTATGGGTCTACATGTAACAGTGTTGGTGCGACAGCTGGCTATTTTTTGGGCAATGTTATTTTACTTGCTTTTAGTTCTCCTGATTTTTGTAATAAATATTTGCGTACCATACCTCAAAATCAAGGAGTCATAACACTTGGGGGTGAGATTTTTTACTTCTCATAACATACACATGCTTGTATGTTTTGTGCATGTATATGTATTTTATGTGCATTTTAATTCTTAGAAAATAATGAAAAGTACAAAAAATAAATTAAGTAACATTTTTTTACTCAAATATTACCCGCATATACGTTTGACTCAGTTGATTTTATCTACATCGCCTAGACCTTTTATTTTCAATATGATGTCATCAGTAATGTTTTGTGAAGCAATAAACCTGAATGTATATGTTATAAATAGGGAATATATATATCAGCAGTGAATGAATGCTCAATGAATTTTATTAATTTTACTTTATTAATTTTTACTAGCAGTTTAATGTTATTGGTATTGACAACAACAACAACAAAAAAGAGGTAATTAAAAAAAAATAAAAAATTCTTTGACTGATATATCCTTGATTTATACATGAACGTTTTTTAACAACATTTTTTTGTAATATTCAAATACCTTTTTGAATAGTTTTAGGTTTTCACAGAACATTGACCTTTGTGCTTATTCAATGAAAAATCAATTTGAATGTATTTGAATTTACAGATTCATAGTACCTTTTGTGTAGAGTTGCAAAAAGTGTGATATTTTCCTCCGGTGTTTTTTTTTGGGTCAAAAAAAAACACCGGAGGAAAAAAAACACCGGAGGAAAAAAGTTTTTTTTTTTTTTTTTTTACGTTTTTTGTTTGTTTTGTATTGGCGTTTTTAGTAATTTTTTTGGGCTTAAGTTTTGAAAAAAAAATTTTCATTCTAATATATTTTTAGTATATCATAATACATGTATAAACACTAGTTTTAATTTATATTTTCAATAAAAAAAATTAAATAAACTATAAGTTAGTTATAAATATAGGTAGACTGTATGGGAATGTATTTGTCATGTTGTACTTGTATGGGAATATATTTTTCATGTTGTACTTTCTAACTACTGTGTTACATTATATATAGGAACTATACTTGTCCTATAAGAAAATTATTATTTTAATTTTGATAATATAAATAAATTATTATATAATACCATACTGATTTAATATCAGACTTCAAATGCTTAAAGAAATAAGCAATCTATTAAGATTCTTTATTTCTTTCAACATTTGTATTTTCTGTAATCTAGTCTTACATTGTTTGTTAAATTTGTCAAAAAAATATATATTGCGCGTGAGGCATTATATAAAAAAAAGTTCTATACTCTACTTAATTTCTTGGAAAATTTAAAAGTTTTTAATTATTAATACATTTATTAGTTAAATAATTATCATTGTTTTTAGATATATTTAGAATTAAAATTTAAAAAAAAAAAAAAATTTAGTTGCCGAAGGTGCTAAGTAATTTAACATAATTAATATAATTACATAATTAAAAAAAAGTGTAAATATCTAAGTAAAAAAAGAAATAATCTAGTAATTTCAAAATAGTCTAGTAATTTCAATATTTAATTTATTTATGATATTATAACTGCATTGGCAGCTGTAAAACAAAGTACTACCGTAAATAATATACGAATGTTAAGCATAGGTCATGAAATTGCACATTTTATAAAATCTACAATTTTTTGCCCATTTTGTGAACTGGATAGTGATAGATTGTAAAATATGGAATTTTATTGTGTTTTTTTAAATGTATATTCAGTGTAAGAAATAAAATTAGTATTTATTAAGTTTAAATAATAAATATATTTTTTAGTTATAATATATATAACCAGTTGATATATGCAATTTTTCTGCACAATTCTCTATTTAAGTCAATTTTGAATATATATAAAAGTTCAACATTTTGCTCAAAAAAAAGTGTAAATAATTGCACATTTCATGAAATGCTCAATTTCATGATCTGCACATAACATGAATATTTTAATTAGAACAATCATTTATACAGTAATATTGTTTCTTTCTAGTTCTTAGTCTCCCAGACCCAGGCCATCTTCATTCCTAATTTATTTATTCATAATTTACTACATTTTTCAACTACCCTTGTCATTTGAGGTCTTAAAAGGAACATATAACTCTTTTCTATTTTGCTAATTTGGTTTATAGGTTAAAATAAATAGACAACTAAAGATTTATTTCTGCCTCCTGTATGGCCAGCCTAATCATAATTTGTTAACATCAAGATGAACAATAAGAAACCACTTAATAACTTATAGATATCCTTTCTTTCTCTTTATATTATATCATGGACTACTATATTATACGGCCGTATATGTTACATTTTAGAGGCCAATTCTAAAAGGCCTATTTTCGCACAAAAAAGAACAACAAGTTGAATGATAAAACTATTAATTTTAAACTTGCATATTATGCAAAATAAAAAGCAACTTGCATAATAAGTAGAACTTGCAAATTATATATATATATATATATATATATATATATATATATATATATATATATATATATATATATATATATATATATATATATATATATATATATATATAGTTGAAAAAAATCAATTCCTTTCATTATTAAAGCGATACCTGAAGTTAACATAAGTGGTAAATGGCTTTCAGATCAAATATCCGATTCTATTAGTTCTCTTTCGCTATCTGGTTTTAAAATTCGAGGTGTTGTTACCGATAATCATAAATCGAATGTAAGTGCATTTAGTTTGCTTCGTTCCAAATTTGGTAATCAATCAAATTTCTTTATTAATCATCCTGATAGTCCAAATACTAAAATATACTTATTTTATGATAGTGTTCATCTTGTTAAAAATATCAGAAATAATTTATTACACTTTATATTTATATATATATATATATATATATATATATATATATATATATATATATATATATATATATATATATATATATATATATATATTAACATAAAGATATTTAAAACAATAAAAGAACATAAATTTAAACCTTGGTTTTCTTTGTAAATTTCTTTGAAAAATCGTGTTGTCAATTTAAATGTATAATGTACAAATATAAAAATATATATTAGATACAAATACATGTATAATATACATAGATATATATGTTTATAAATATACAAATCTCTATGATTAATTATCGCTGATAAATACACTTTTCTTTGTACTCGAAATTACGTTTAGTCTGGATGATGAGTTTTTTTCTCTGTAGTTGCGCAGCCATCTTTTTAATAAATAGGCCTCTTAGAATCGGCCTCTAAAATGTAACATATACGGCCGTATAATATAGTAGGCCATGATTATATATATGAGGGTGCCTTAAAACTTCCTTTAGATAAAAAACCACAATTCATTGTTTTTCGTGTGCGGTAAATATCTTTTGTGATTAAGTTAAGCCTAATTTAAGCTCAATTGTTCAATATTTATATTTTATATTTTTATGCAGAAAAACTACAGTTTTTTTTTATTAAAAATAAAAAAATTTTTTAAAAATGAATTATAATTTTAAATTTTAGTGAACAGAAAATAACATTTTTAAACTAAAACTAAATAAGGGAAATCAACAAGATTTTACTTAGTAGTAGCAGTGATAAACTGTGACTAATTTTTAAAAACCAGCAAGGGGAAACCCACTCTGACATTGCTAACTCTTATCAAGTTCCAATAATCCTACAGCCATAGATCAAGCTTGAAAACATCTAATGATTCTGAAAATACTCTATCGTTAGTTAATATATTTCAAATAGAGGCAACTCTGTTGAATAGGAAATTATGTCAAGGTTAATACTTAGTTATTTCTGGCGATATTTACAACAATATTTACAGTTATTTCCTCTATTATATTGGAATGCTTTTGACTCAAATTTATTTATTCGTTTAACTTCTTCCAAACCATTTTTTAATTTTATATACTTGTATTAAATCACCTCTCAATCTTCGCATATAAAGATCTGTAATATTTAGATGTTTTAACCATTTGTCAAATTCCTCAACAAAGGAACAATTCTAGTAGAGCGATGCTGCACTCTTTCTAAAGCTTCAATTTCACTTTTGAAGTAAGGAGACCAAACAGACACTGCAAATTCATCAAGGGGCCAAACAAATGTTGTATATCATAATCTAAGCATATAAATGTCAAGTTTAGAAAAAGTATATTTCAACAACCCCATCATTCTATTTGCTTTTAAGGTACAAGCCATTTTATGATCTTTCCATCTCAATTTTAAAGAAGATTTTTTTTTTTTAATTTTTTTTATAAAATAATTTTTATTTTTGAAATTTTATAAAATTTAGCTTTGTTTGAGACCCAAAATACTTTTAAAAACCTTTATTTTTTTTGATAACATTAGGAACCCATTTAATGTTCGAGGATCGATTGCAACTCCTTAAAATATTTTTATGCATTATTTTCATTAACGGTGCTAATTTAAAGGAAATAAATAGATAGAAGGAAGTAAAAGAAATTGTTTTCCTGATAATTGCAGGAAAATTCATTCTGGAAATTTTAAAAGTATGACCTGTATAATCTTTTTCATATGATTTTTTCATATTTTCATATGATATTTTTTATATGATCTTTCATACATCATTTCATATTTTCATATGGTAAACTTTAATTAATAAAGTAACAAACTCACTTAAATTGATTTTATTTGTAATTAGTATTTTAATGTCGATGTTCCTAGTAAAACAATTCCTTTTCAACAGCTAATTTTTCAACTGATATTTGTCATGATAGTTGAGGGGAATGTTCATTGACTGATCAGCTGACTGTAATGAGTAGCCTTGGCCTTGGTAATGAGCGAAACATAAAAACTTAATTAAGAATTAGAGGTTAGTTAAGAGTTCAGAGATTTGTAAAAAAATAAGAGCTTAGTTAAGCAAATAAACTATTTTCAAGTACTTGACTTGTACAAAACTTGAAAAATTGATGGATTAGACAAGAGTTTTTTTTATATATTAACAATAGTGAAAGTGACTGTTCACACATTTAATGACAAGTTTGAGTTGAGGCAGGTAGTGTTGAGTTATGAATTAGTATTAATAACATAATTGTTTTTATAATTAACAACATAAAATATTTTTTTTTTACAATTTCTTTTTGTTTTG